TTGTGCAGTACGTCGGGCATGGGACTAGTGCTTGGAGGGCGGAGTCCAGTGGTCCTCACTGGGCACGCAGACGCTTCTTGGGCTGACGACCAGGCTACGCAGCGGTCGTCACAGGGTTACACCTTCAGCCTTGGTTCGCGGCTCTGTTTCGTGGCGGGCTACTCGCTCGTCTTCTGTTGTCGGCTCCAGTTGTGAGGCTGAGATCTACGCAGGGGCCATGGCTGCTCAGGAGCTTCGCTGGCTCACCTACTGCTGACCGACCTTGGAGAGCCGCCTCGTTCTCCTCCAGTCCTGTACGTCGACAACAAGGCCATGCTGGCCTTGTGTGTGAGAGCAGAGACTGGAGCACAGAACGAAGCACATTGCTCTCCGCTACTTCCTGCTGCTCGTGAACTACAGCAGCGTGGTCAGTTGCGACTTGCGTACGTGGCCTCTGAGGCCAACACTGCTGATGTCTTCACCAAGGCACTTCCGCCTTGTGATCATCAGCGCTGCTGTAGCCAACTGGGTCTTGTGTCTGTCTTGCCTCACTTGCTCTCCTCTTGACCCTCTTTGTACTGTTACATATATATATTACTGCTCTTGCTGTTTAGTCTTATATATATAGTACTCCTGCATGTGAACTGGCCTGTGACCTTGAACTTGTGCTCGGATTGTGTGGTGACATTGTGATCCACCCTGAGCTTGCTTTGCTTTGCTTTGCTTTACTTGACTGGTCTTGTGACCCCTAGTTCTCCCCCACTTCGCCTATGGGGGTGTGTCAAACAATATATATTGTTGTAGTTGTTTAGGCTATAGTGGGTTAGCCTATAGGGGGTACACACTTCTAGGTTTCCACATTTGTACTCATTTCATTCTTAGTCATTTCATTACTTGTTCAACAGGAAGCTGCAGCGTCAAGGCAGACCGGGAGTTCCGGGAGCTGCCACAGTGGAGCGATAGGGCCACATCATCCACAGCTATCATTAATGCTGTTCGTGTGCGACAGTTAGTGAAGCGTGCGGCACGGATCTTCGCGGTTTTTCTTGAGGAGGTGGAAGCTGAGGAGGGGAAAGGAGGGAGTGCAGCAGTTAGTGAGAAGGCGACTCTTACTGCTGAGGTGAGTGCACTGTTAGCAGAGTTCGCAGACGTCTTCCCCGACGAGTTGCCCCCAGGGTTGCCTCCCAGCCGAGTAGTAGACCATCAAATAGAATTGGAGCCGGGGAGCAGGCCAGTAGCGAAGCCGCAGTGGAGGTTGAGTCCAGCGGAGACAGAGAAGATGACGCAACAAGTTAGGCACTTTCTCGCACAGGGTTTCATACAGCCATCTAGATCGCCTTGGGCCGCACCGATACTTTTCGCACCCAAGAAAGACGGAGGGTTACGGATGTGCATAGATTACCGCGCACTGAACGCCGCCACCGTCAAGAATAGATTCCCGGTGCCGAGAGTAGAGGATCTTCTCGATGCAGTGCAGGGCGCTAGAGTCTTCTCAAAGATCGACCTTCGTTCGGGTTACCACCAGATTCGAGTAGTTCCAGAGGACCAGCACAAGACGGCGTTTCGTACGAAGCAAGGGTTGTACGAGTTTAGGGTTCTACCATTCGGATTGACCAACGCCCCAGCGACATTTCTGACGCTCATGAACACAGTCCTCTCCGAGTTCCTAGGGTCGTTCGTTGTCGTTTACCTAGACGACATCCTAGTGTTCTCTAAGACGAAAGATGAGCACGTGCAGCACTTGCAGAAGGTCTTCGAGGTCTTACGGAGGGAGCAGTTATATGCTAAGCAGTCGAAGTGCGAGTTCTTCCTTCCAGAGGTCGAGTTCCTAGGACACGTCGTATCCGCTAGTGGCATTAGGACTGACCCGAAGAAGATCGCAGCAGTACAGGATTGGGTAGCACCGACCTCAGTCAAGGAGTTGCAGAGCTTCCTCGGTTTCGCTAACTACTACCGTCGTTTCGTTCAGGGTTACGCATCGATCGCTAGTCCACTCACCGACCTACTTCGGAAGGGCGTAGAGTACGTTTGGGGTCCAGCGCAGCAGCAGGCGTTCGAGCAGATGAAGCAGTCGCTCACGTCTTCACCGACACTGTCGTACCTGATCCCACTCGCCCATACGTTGTAGTGACCGACGCTTCCGATCAGGCCATAGGAGTTGTGCTTCTTCAGGACCAGGGACGCGGGTTGCAGCCGATCGCGTACGAGTCGCGTAAGCTTAGGGGAGCGGAGTTGAACTATCCCATACACGACAAGGAGGCGCTCGCGATCATCCATGCGTATAAGGTGTGGAGGTGCTACCTAGAGGGGGCAGATAGTGTTATACGCACGGACCACTGTTCGCTTCGTTTCCTCAAGTCGCAGCCGCAGCTGAGTCGTCGCCAGGCTAGGTGGATGGAGTTCATGGAAGGGAGCTTTCACTACAGGATAGAGTACAAGCCAGGCGTGCGCAACCCAGCAGATCCGCTCACTCGCCCTAGTTGTCAGCTCGCCAGTCTCACAGTCACTGCTGGCCACCCACTTCTCACAGCACTCTTCGAGCAGCACGGTTACACAGTAGATCCGACTTCACACCGCAGCCGCCCCGCAGGAGCAGAGGTGCAGGGTAGTGTCTACATACGGAAGGGTACCACACGGATTTGGGTTCCAGCCTACCGCCCTCTTTGACAGCTCCTTCTCTCAGAGGCGCACGACGTAGTTAGTGCAGGGCACTTCGGAGCAGATAAGACGGCTAAGACGCTTAGTCGCACGTACTACTGGCCCGGGCTTGCAGCAGACATAGAGGATTACATTCGCTCGTGCGACACGTGTCAGCGTACGAAATCCTCTCGCCAGCGCAAAGCAGGACTCTTGCAGCCGATTCCACCGCCCGACCGCCCTTGGCAGGTAGTTACCATGGACTTCATCATGGCTTTACCGCGCACAGTTAGGGGTCACGACGCCATCTTCGTAGTAGTGGATAAGTTTTCTCGAGCAGCGCATTTTCATCCCCACGCACGGCAAGGTCACAGCAGAGGAAGCCGCGACGCCTGTTCGTAGATAACGTAGTCCGACCTGCACGGGGTTCCAGATTCCATCATCTCAGACCGCGACCCTCGTTTCACTTCGAAGTTCTGGAAGCAGCTTTTCGCACTGTTTGGGACTCGCTTAGCCATGTCGTCTGCGTACCACCCAGAGACAGACGACAGACCGAGCGTGTGAACCAGACCTTGGAGCAGATCCTTCGCTAGCATCACGATGCACGATGCAGCCGCATGGGACAAGAAGCTGAGCATGGCAGAGTTCGCCTACAACAAACACGCACCACTCCGCCACAGGCATGTCACCGTTCTTTGCACTTTACGGTCAGCACCCCAATGTCCCCACTTCGTGTCGATCTCACACCCACCGTCCCTCGTGCGGACAACTTCCACCAGCATCTCACCTTCATTCATGATCACGTGAGGAAGCACCTTGAGCTCGCAAATGCACGCATGGCACGCACCACCAACCGCAGTCGTCGTGAGGTGTCGTTCGCAGTCGGCGACCGTGTTCTCTTGGATAGCCGCAACCTCCGACTGCCACAGGACAGCAAGCTTCGTCCACGTTTCATTGGTCCATTCGTCATTGAGCGCGCACTAGGTCCAGTCGCATACCGCCTTCGCCTTCCCGCACATTTCCGCATGCACCCGTCATTCCACGTGTCTCTCCTTCACCCATACACCGATCCCAACGCCACCTTCTCGGGCCGTGATCGCACTCCACTGCCGGTAGCTGTTGACACCGACGAGCCCGACTACCAGATCCAGCGCATCCTTAGGCACCGTCGCCGTCTCCAGGGGGGTATCACTTTCATCGACTTCTTGGTTCGTTGGCGTGGTTACGACGCAGCAGACGACAGCTGGGTTCCTTCGTCCTCGCTGTCTCCTGACAACGCTTGCCTCCAAGCGTACCTTCAGTCTGCAGGCGCCGCGGACGTCGCCTCCTTGGGCGGGGGGTAGTGTTAGAGGGGTGTTTACTGTTCATTCCGAACAGTACATTCCTAGTCACCATTATCCTTATCTTCTCAGATTCTCTAGTGCCACGTGGCACTCTACTTTTCTTGCACTCCAATTCTTGGTCCCACATTCCACTTTCCAACCTTGTTTCTTGCATGCTATATAAACCTTGCTTGTACTTGCCATTATCAATCAATTCTCATTCAACTCTTCTTCAATTACTCAGTAACTTCTTCGCCTATTTCGCCAATAGTTCTTTCGCCAAAGTCTTCCGCCGCGTTTCATCCTCGACTTAGTCGACCCCGCTAATTCTTTAGCGGACTTAGGCCGTCGGGCCTAACAATATTCTATAATTCGCTGCAAGCACACTCACGACAGACACGGACTCCCTCCCTTTTCACCGACTCTCGCCCCAAGTGTCAGTCAACAGTTCCGCACCGTTGACTGGATTCGCGTTGACTGGTCGTCCCCAACAGTCAAACAACGCATCAGTTTCTCCTAATACGTGCACGTCGACCGTCTTGGGTTCATGGCAGCGGCGGCGATGGCAGTGGAAGTACAAATAGCGACTTCGCTAGAAGCATTCCGCAGCGCCGCCTCTCAGGCTTCTTTTCACACCACGCCTCTCGAATCATCCTCGCCCATCCCAACAGCATCGCTCTTGGGCTTCGACTGGGACCGCCGTCGTCCCTCCCTCGCGGACTCTCGCTCGTTTCCTGCCTCACCACTCCCATTCGCAACCATTCGCGTCTGGAGCGTTTTAGCATTCCTCGCCGCTCGCCATGATGACGCGTCGCCTCGCCTCGTTCCCGCGTCGTCCCGGCCCTCGCGCTCGTCGCGCTCCTCTGCTTCGCGGGCGTCGATCACGCGGCTTGCAGCGCGCGCTCGCTCGGATTCCAAGGTTCGGCGGCTTGGCAGGGGGATCGGGGACAGGCGGAGGCTGGTCCTTCTTCCGCCCCCGCGGCCCGGCGGCGGCGGCGGAAGTGGCGCAACGAACGGCGGCAAAGCGGGCAGGGTAGGTTTGGCGCGAAAAGAGGTGGCGGGATGAGCGGACAAACGAGTAGTCCGGGCGGAGGAGGCATGGGCGGAGGAGGTATGGGCGGAGGAGGCATGGGAGGAGGCATGGGCGGAGGCATGGGCGGAGGCATGGGCGGAGGCATGGGCGGAGGCATGGGCGGAGGCATGGGCGGAGACATGGGCGGAGGAAGCATGGGCGGAGGAAGCATGGGCGGAGGAAGCATGGGCGGAGGAAGCATGAGCGGCGGAGGCATGGGCGGAGGAGGCATGGGCGGAGGAAGTATGGGCGGAGGAGGCATGGGCGGCGGAGGCATGGGCGGAGGAGGCATGGGCGGAGGAGGCATGGGCGGAGGAGGCATGGGCGGAGGAGGCATGGGCGGAGGAGGCATGGGCGGAGGAGGCATGGGCGGAGGAGGCATGGGCGGAGGAAGCATGGGCGGGGGTGGCATGGGCGGAGGTGGCATGGGCGGAGGAGGCATGGGCGGAGAAAAACATGGGCGGAGGAGGCATGGGCGGAGGTGGCATGGGGGGAGGCAGCGGGTCATCAGGTGGGAGTGCGTGTGGCAACAGCAGCAGCAGCAGGAGCGCCAAGCGCACGAGCAGCAATGGCAAGAGGTGTGCCCACCCGCTCTGCCACACTGCCTGCCTTGCCACTTAGCATGCACGTTAATGTCCTCTCATCTCGTCCCCTCACGCATTGGTTTCCATCTCTTCTTCTGCCTCCATGTCTCCTTTCCATCACTCTCTACTCCCTACCCTCCGCCCCTGCCCTGTTCCACCTGCCCTCGTCCCCGTGCCCTAATCCCCCTGCCTTGTTCCCTTGGCGCTCTTCTCCTGGCCATGGCAGGGTGATGGCAAGCATGGCGAGTGCAGGCCACGCTGTACTCGCCACTGCAGCAGGCGCTCTCCTTCGCCGTGCCACTCGCCCCCACGCTTGCCTCCTCCACCACTCCTGTCGCCCTCAGCGGCACGTGCAAGATGGGGCCCATTGGCTTCGCGCTCAACGGCGTGCCCTTCTATAGGTCAGCGGGAAGGGGGAGAGGTGGAGGGTGCGGGGGGAGGCGGTAGAGCTACTGGGCTCACATTCGATGATCGGAACTGTGCACCATCTCGATCCCCACTCTGCTGCCCATACTGCTCCCAGTGTGTGTGATGTCTGGCACTACGAAGAAGCGTGGGAGCCCTTGTGGGTGTGCCTGCCTGCCACCTCACGCCCGCATTGCCCCTCCCCATGTCTCCCTCTCCCTCTCCCCCTCGCAGTACGTATGACGCCCTGGGCCGTGACGCCTTGCAGTACGAGGGCTCCACCTTTGACTCGTGTGGGGGGCACCCCACGCCCTCGGGCCAGTACCACTACCACGTCGCACCCGGCGTTGCCAAACCCTCCGCCATCTCCGCATCTCGCTCCACCAACTTCAAGCTCTGCAAGTGCGTTCCCCATTCCCCCATTACCCCTTCCTCCGGTTTCCCCGTTCCCACCTTCTCACCTTCACTACCTGCAACCTCTACTCCTTCCATAGCCAACCTGCTTCATCCATGCCCCATGCCGCCTCATGCCATTCAACTCGTAGAATTCCTGGCATCCCAACCATCCACCTCCCCTTCTCTCCGCCCTCCCTCCTCCCCACCACCTTCCCTCCCCAGCTCGTCCTTCTGGCAGGACGTGCGCGGGCAGCACTCGCCGCTGCTGGGCTTCCTGGCGGACGGCATTCCGCTCTTCGGCCGCGGGCAGCGGGGGGGGCGCTGCTGGCAGGGCTGGACGAGTGTGGGGGGCACGTGGGCGACGGCAGCAGCGGCGAGCTGGCGTTCTACCACTACCACGCCAGCAGCACGGCGCCCTACACTGTGGCTTGCCTCAAGGGCTGCGTCGCCTCCTCTGACTGGGGCAACCTCGGCTCTGCTTCCTGCACCCAGGCCACTAGTAAGTGGCGACGGTTGTGGCTGTGTGCACATGCTGCCTTGGTCACCTCCGAACCTCATTTTCTCTCCTCTCCGGTGCTCTCTTTGCCTTGTCTTTCCCTCCTCTCTTCGCATCGTCCTTTCTTCTCGTCTCCTCTCCTCTCTTTTTCCTCTCTCTTGTCCTCTCCTCTATTTTCCACTCTCCTATCCTCTCCTCTCCTCTCCTCTCTTTTTTCCTCTTTCCTCTCCTCACTCTCCTCTCCTCTCCTCACTCTCCTCTCCTCTCCTCTCCTCTCCTCTCCTCTCCTCTCCTCTCCTGTCCTCTCCTGTCATCTCATCTCCTCACCTCCCCCTCATTGTTCCTAATTTGGCACTGTCTGCTCATCCATCCTCCTTTGCCCCCAATATCACCTGTTTCATTGCTTACAGAGCAATGCGACTACTCATCACTGGCGGCAGTGCAGGCAGCATGATCCCACGCCTGCCATGCCACCTGCCCACATCACCCACCCACCCTCATTCCTCAGCGGGCCTGCCTTCATTCCACGGTCCACTCCTCTGGCCGCAATGCTGCTCCGGCATTGCAGGACTGGAAATGCGCTGCAGGAGTGGCACATGGGGGGCAGGTTAGGGTAGCACGCTGTGGCATGGGGATGGTTACTCGTGTGCCTAAGGGTGTGTTCCTACCTTGTATCGAAATACCATGTGCCTGTGAATGGCCGCATTGAGTCCCACATGTGGTGCTTGATGTGAGGTAGGAACGCTACCCACATTAGCATCTGCTTGTAGGCTGTGCTAGTTGCGCATTGAGTCCCACATGCTAAAAAGTTATTTTGTAAAGACCCGGGTCTTTTAACAGATATGCCACTTATTTAGACCCCCCTCATTTTTTTTTTGTGCGATTTGTTGGGCTGAGAAAAGCCCTTAGGATCGTTTCAAGGCTAAGACTCGGAGTGATGATGTAGTTGCGGAAGCGTAATAGTGAACTGATTGATGTCAGATTATTATAGCTGATGCATGTTTGTAGGCTATAGTGGGGTAGCACATATGGGGTACAGCTTTCTAGGTTTGTATTTGTACCCAAAATTGACTTAGTCATTCTCATTCCTGGTCATTTGTTTCACATGGTATAGAGCGAGTTCCCTGTGGGAACGTTGCCTAGGGCCCACCGAAGCGCGCCCCGAGGCGCGCATTTTTTTTAGCGACCCCTCGAGTCGCCCTTTCCCTCGTGGCCCCGCTGTCCCTTAGACGCGGCCCCGCCACCCCTTCAGATCGCGGCCCCGCCACCCGATCGCGGCCCCGCCGCCACGTCGCGGCCCCGCCACCCGATCGCGGCCCCGCCGCCAGCTACGAAGCGGCCCCGCCGCCTGCTCGACGCGGCCCTGCCGCCTGCTCTGACGCGGCCCCACCGCCCGCTACGGCGCGGCTCCTGCCGCCCGCAATAACGCGGCCTCGCCGTCTACTCTGACGCGGCCCCGCCGCCTGATCTGACGCGGCCCCGCCGCCCGCTTCGACGCGGCCCTGCCGCCTGATCTGACGCGGCCCCGCCGCCACCTCTTACGCGGCCCCGCCGCCTCCTTTGACGCGGCCCCGCCGCCTGATCTGACACGGCCCCGCCGCCTACACTGACGCGGCCCCGCCGCCTGATCTGACGCGGCCTCGCCGCCGGCTACGACGCGGCCCCGCCGCCCACTACGACGCCGGCTCCGCCGCCTGCTCAGCCGCGGCCCCGCCGCCCTCTCTGCCGGCCCTGCTATTTCGGCCCCGCCGCCCCTGGTCCCGCGGCCCCGCCACCCTACCTGCAGCAGCCGAGCCGCCCACCTGCAGCAGCCGAGCAGCAGTGCAGCCGAGCCGCCCCGCACCCGAGCCGCCCTGCCGCCGAGCAGCCCGGGAGCCGAGCCGCCCTGCACCCGAGCCGCCCTGCCGCCGAGCCGCCCGGGAGCAGAGCCGCCCAGCAGCCGAGTCGCTGAGTCGCAGAGCCGCCCTTCTGCAGAGTTGCCCGGCCTGCCCTGCCTGGTGAGCACAGTCCCATTGTCACTGCGTGCTCTTCCCCTACTGCTTGCACTGCTTCGCTGTCGTCGTCATGGCTACCCCTAGTGTCCTAGCTTTTGACGCTGAGGGTCGCGCCATTGACTTTGAGGTCTGGGTAGACGACCTGCAGCTGTTTTTTACAGTGCGATAGGGCAGACGGCCTCTCTCTCTTTGACCTTACCTCTGGCGCCTCTCCTGCTCCTGCTGCTGATGCTGATCCCACTGTGCGCTCTCAGTGGGCCACCCGCGATGCTGCTGCACGTCTTGCTGTGCGTCGCCACCTCCCTACCTCTGAGCGCGCGCACTTTAGTCAGTACAAGAGTGCTCAGACCTTGTACGACGCTGTAGTTGCGCGCTACTCCTCCCCTGCCACTGCTGCACTGAGCCGTCTCATGCTTCCCTACCTCTTTCCTGACCTCTCTGCCTTTCCCACTGTCGCTGACCTCATTACGCACCTTCGCACTAGTGACACTCGCTACCGCGCCGCCCTTCCTGCTGAGTTCTGCGCTAAGAACCCCCCCCCCCATGTACATCACTCTCTACTACGTAGTCGCACGCCTCCCTGACTCCCTTCGAGTAGTCAGGGACCACTTTCTCGCAGTCTGTCCCACCACCCTCACAGTCGACGTCCTCGAGAAGGCCCTCCTCGCAGCGGAGAAGAGCATAGTCGCTGTAGGAGCTTCTCGTGGAGACCCTCGCACCCCCATCTTTGAGGGGTGCTCTCCTTCCCCCTTGCTGCCCTCTGTTGCCTCTGCTGCTGCTGCCGACCTACTTGGTCTTGAGTCGGTCGGCGCGGCGTCTGCCCCTAGTGGGAGACGTCGCTCTGGCAAGGGCAAGGGGGGCAAGGGCGCGGGTGGAGCTGGAGGGGGCGGTGGCGGTGGCGGCGGAGGCGGCGGAGGGAGTGGGGGTGGCGGCGGGAGTGGTGGCGGGGGTGGTGGTGGTGGTGGCAGCAGCGGCGGAGGCGGCGGTAGTGGTGGCAGCGGTGGTGGTGGTGGCAGCGGCGGAGGTGGAGGCGGCGGAGGAGGCAGCGGCGGAGGCGGTGGTGGTGGAGGGGGTGGAGCTGGTCGGGGTGGTACCCAGCAGCGAAGCGGCGGTGGTGGTGGCCAGCGCTCGCAGCAGCAGCAGCAGCAGCAGCGTTCGCGGGACATCCCTCCGCCTCAGCAGCTTCGTGAGTGGTACACTCAGCGTCAGAGGGGTGGGGGTACTGGTCCTTGCACCTACGTCCTTCGTTCCGGCGACCGCGCGGGTGAGCAGTGTGGGGGTGCCCACCCCACCCAGCGCTGCTTTGGCCGCCTGGCGGACGTTTGGCGTCAGCAGTTCCCTGGGGCTAGTGAGATCCCTCGCTGGGATGAGCTTCTTAGGGCTGGTGTAGCGATCTTTGATCTTGATTTTGATGCTATCCTTGCTGCTATGTATGCTGTGACTATTAGTGAGGAGACTGAGGGTTACCGGTGTTTCTAGCCCGACCCGGGCATTGGTACTGCTGCGCTAGGTGCTTGTGAGGCTGCTGCTCTAGGTGCCAGTGCGTCTGCGCTCTCAGGTACTGGTGAGACTGCGCTCTCAGGTTCTGCGTCGCCCTCGTCCTCCCTCACTTTCACACTTGACTCTGGGGCTTCTCGCTCCTTCTTTCGAGACCGCACCACCCTTACGCCGCTTGGCCGGCCGGTTGCCGTCTCCCTGGCTGACCCCTCTGGGGGTCCTGTCCTCTCTCACTTCTCCACTGTCCTCCCGTGTCCGGCTGCCCCTTCGGGCACCCTGTCTGGTCTGTACCTTCCCTCGTTCTCTACGAACTTGGTGAGTGGTGCGGACCTCCAGGATGCGGGGGTTCACCAGTTCACTCCTGCGCGTCAGCGGGTGACCCACTGCACGGACGCACGCACAGGCCGACACCTGACCACCTTCTCACGTCGGCCGGGGTCGAGTCTCTACACCCTGACCACTATGTCTCCTCCTGTCTCTGCGTCCGGTCAGGTAGCTGCGTCAGGTCAGGTGCTTGCTGCTGCGTCCCGGTCAGGTCCTGCGTCTGCCCCCTGCTCGTGTCGCCTCCTGTCCCACGAGACCCTCCTGTGGCACCACAGGATGGGTCACCCCTCCCTGTCCCATCTCCGGGGCATGGCCTCTCGCCTCCTTGTCTCTGGTCTACCCCGATCCCTCCCTCCCCTTCCTCCGGGGCCTGGCCCTCCCTGTGTCCCCTGTGTCGAAGGTCGCCTGCGGGCTACCCCTCACTCCTCCCCGTTTCCTCCGACGGAGGCCCCGATGCAGACGCTTCACATGGACGTGTGGGGCCCAGCCCGCGTCCGTGGACAGGGTCACGAGCACTACTTCCTGCTGGTGGTTGACGACTACTCGCGTTACACCTCACTCTTCCCCTTGCGCAGCAAGGGTGAGGTCACTGAGGTGTTGATCGACTGGATCCGCGCAGCTCGTCTCCAGCTCAGGAAGAGCTTCGGCTCGGACTTTCCTGTTTTGCGTCTTCACTCGGACAGAGGCGGAGAGTTCTCCTCCGGCCTTCTGAGAGCCTACTGTTGGGCACGATGCATCCGCCAGACCTTCACGCTTCCGGACTCTCCACAGCAGAATGGGATTGATGAGCGCCGCATCGGCATTGTCATGGACGTCGCCCGTACGTCCATGGTGCATGCGGCTGCCCCCCATTTTCTGTGGCCGTTTGCGGTGAGGTACGCCGCGCATCAGATCAACCTTCAGCCCAGAGTCTCCCGACCGGAGACCTCCCCAGCTTTGCTGTGGACGGGGAAGGTTGGCGATGCGTCGGCGTTCCGTGTCTGGGGATCTCGGGCGTTTGTCCGCGACTTGTCTGCGGACAAGCTGTCCCCTCATGCTGCTCCCTGTGTCTTCCTTGGCTTCCCCACAGACGCTCCTGGGTGGCAGTTCTACCACCCCTCCTCTCGTCGTGTTCTGTCCTCCCAGGACGTCACGTTCGACGAGTCAGTCCCCTTCTACCGCCTCTTCCCCTACCGCACTCCTTCCCTCCCCCCTCCACCGGACTTCCTTGTGCCGGTTCCCCCCCCGGTAGACCCCCTCCCCCCTCAGGTTCCTGCCCCCTCAGGTGTGTCCCAGGTAGACGCAGTTGACCCGGTCAAGGTTACTGGTGACTCTGGTGCTGCTGCGGGTGCTGAGCCTGGGGGTGCTGACTCTGGGGGTGCTGTGCGCGGGGGTGCCGAGCATGGTGGTGCTGCTACTGGGGGTGCTGGGCCTGGGGGTGCTGGACCTGGGGGTGCTACTGCGGAGGGTGCTGAGCCTGGGGGTGCTGAGCATGGGGGTGCTGAGCCTGGGGGTGCTGAGCCTGGAGGTGCTACGCCCGGGGGTGCTGAGCAGGGGGGTGCTGTGCCTGGAGCTGCTGAGCCTGGGGGTGCTGAGTCTAGGGCTGCTCCGCCTGGGGGTGCTGCGTCTGGAGTTGCTGAGCCTGGGGTTTCTCCTGCTG